CACTATGCCCAGCTATGGCCATATTGTGGATATACAATGTATCCAAGTCTGATGTTACTGGTGTGATGTCAAGTCATGATAACACTCTTAGAAAAGGCTACAGGCAGTGGGAAATCATTCAACTTCCTCATTAACTACTGACCCCTCACAGAACTTGAGGCAGGGGTATTCTAAGATGCTCATCACCCTCAATAAACCCATTTGAGTAAGACCATGGGTAAGGTTCTAAAAAGAACTCAAAGTCAGTGGAACACTTGGAAAGTTCCAGGTGAGAGAAGAGCTGAAGGCTCAAGAATCCACTAATTGGGCTGGGAAGGTGGCTCAGTGGTAGAGCGCTTGCCTTGCATGCTCGAGGCCCTGGGTTCGATTCCTCAGCACCACATAAGCAAAAAGAAAAAAGCCGGAAGTGGCGCTGTGGCTCAAGAGGTAGAGCGCTAGCCTTGAGCTGAAGAGCTTAGGGACAATGCGAAGGCCCAGAGTTCAGGCCCCACGACCGGATCCAAAAAAAAAAAAAAAAAAGAATCCACTAATTAAGACTAGCATGAATAAAGATCTACCATATGCTAAAATGTACAGGTCTTTGTGCCTTTTTCTTTAAAAACATTTTTTACACCGATATTTTGTCTTTGAGATTTATATAAAATTCTTTCTTATGCTAGCGGTAGTTTCTGGTAATTTGGTAAAACATATTTTTGTTGGCAGAGGGAGAAACATTTGCTTCCTTCCCCTCTACTTAGTTCCTCAAATATCCAAAAATTACCTGTATTTTATTTTTTATGCTAATATGGTTATTTGCCTAAATTCAAGAAGAATCCATTCTTGTCTTGTTGGAATATAAATTGTAAGCACTGGCTTGGGCTGAGATGCCTTCTTTGGAAATACGCATAGAATTCCCAGCTTTAGAATAGTAAAAACCCAGGTCTCTAGATATATTAGGTACCGCATAGAAAACTAGAAGGATTCTGAATCAAGATCATGATACAGACAAAGCCTTTTCCCTGCTGACAGATGTAAGTAACCAAGTCAAACTCAGTTCATGAAGAACACCATAACAACAACAAAAATTTTTTCCTTGATAACCTTGCTAGAAATAGGCATTGTTTCAGGAAAAAGCTAGCGTATAGCTGTATTAGAATGTACCTCTGGCCTTTGTTTTCAGGCTTTTATTATTTACCTGTCAACTGGAGGAGATCTCCTCTCCACACCTTCCCACCTTCCCCCCCCCCCCCCCCCCCAATCCAACTCAGGGCCTCCTGCTTGCTAGGCAAGTGTTCTACCAGTCCTTTTGCTTTTCTATTAATTTGTTTTCAAGACAGGATTTTGAAATAACTTGACCCAGTGGCCTCAAATCAAGATTTTCCTACGTCTGCCTCCCAAGTATCTGGGTCCACAGGCGTGTGTCCTGTGCCAGAGCAACTCTCCAACTCAGAATGGGAACTGCTTTTTCTTAAAGCCCTAAAGGCTGAAATGGAATAGCCTAACATAAATTTCAAGGGACAAGCCTTAGGCTGATGTGCAGGCCACATAGAAAGTTTTAATTTTCAAATCAGGACAAAAAGTTTACCAACTTCATGCTAAGGACAACAAGATGGAACAACACTCCTTTTCTTAATGAAACTCTCACCCTTCTTAATTTTTCTTTAAATTATAGGGTTCAGGTGTAATTAAAATTTTGCAAATGGTGGCTACTGCAATTAACTTGAGAGAACTTAAGAAATAGTATCTCTCATCAAGTAGGATACATTTGGCAACATTCCCAACATAAACTTTTTCATTCAAATTATACTTATGGTTCTTTTTGATAATACCCTCTTAATTCAACTGAGTCATAGGGTACTAAATGAAACATTTGATTTAAATAATCTATAAGGAAATGTTTGTGTTAGATTTAATTTGATACATTGCACCTGCATAAATCCCTCAGAAGAAAGTGCGATCCAATTTCATTGAGAGAAGATAACAGGTCAGGGGTCACAAGAGGCCTCATCAGTCTGCCTTCTCACCGGACTCGTTCAGGTACAGCAGGTTAACTCACCAGCTCCCATTCAGTTGTTTCTTTCAGAGCTTTGTGTCATGCAAAGTACATTCTTTACACACTCTGTGGTTTTGTTTTATATTACTTCCTTTTGGACTTTGTACCTGTTGCCAGATGCAGAAGTATATCTCCTAACAAACAAAACAATGCTAACCCAGACCCAAAACTTTAAAATGGTAGCCAACATCTATGCAACAAAAAAAATTGAGCTTAGTAATGATCTCTAGGTAAACAGCCTGAGAACTTCTCTTTCTAAACTTCCGTGTTCTTCAAACATGACTAAGATGTAATAAACTGTTGACAATGATCCCCAGTCACCACTCCACCTCACACACACCTCTCCCCACAAACCTGGGACCAGACCAGACCCACCACTGGGACAGGTCCATCCTGGTACTAAGTGTCTTGTCAGTCAACCCCAACTCCAGCATGATAGATCAAGCGCTTTCAGAGAATGAGCAGACTTCATCTGAAGGAGAAGGGTCAAAGTTTCTGGATTAAAAATGCAGTCATTTTGTCAAGTCCTAATAGGGACAAAAAAATAAAGTTTCATAAAGTTCATGAAAAGACAGTGTTGTGCACATGTGTCTGATAACAAAAATTATCACAGATCTTTCCAGAATGACAGCCATGCAGGAGGGCATGGCAACCTCACACAAAAATAACATCTGGAAAGATGTGGATACAACAATTCCTTGTGGAATCTTGGCCCGATGTCATTTGTTATTGACTTCTATAATCAAAGACTATTGTTGCAAAATAATTGTATCAAAACTTGGAGAACCTCTCTCTACTTAGGGAGCAATCTGATTCCAGATTACACAGGGAGCAATCTGATTCCAGAGCTTATGTTCCAACAAAGTTCTCATAGATACAGACAGAAGAATCCAACTGATATTCAAGCTACCACTGCAGATCAAGCAGTCTGATAGTAACTTGGCTTAATAGATTACTCTCACGTGTGGTGCCAGAACTAGGTGCGGTCCTTGAGCTTTTTTCTCAAGGACATTTGCACTCTACCACTTATGCTACATGTCCACTTCTAGCTTTTTGGTGGCTAATTGGAGGTAAGACTCTCATGGACTTCCCTGCCAGGGCTGGCTTTAAACCAAGATCCTCAGATCTCAGCCTCAAGTAGCTAAGATTATAGGCGTGAGCCCCCAGTGCCCAGAGAGCCCCCCCCTTTTTTTTTTGTCATTTATGGGGCTTGAACTCTGGGCCTGGGCGCTGTCCCTCAGCTCTTCAGCTCAAGGAGAGCGCTCCAGCACTTGAGCTACAGCGCCACTTCCGTTTTCCTGAGTGTTCATTGGAGATAAGAGTTTCACGACTTTTCTGCCCGGGCTGGCTTTGAACTGCGATCCTCAGATCTCAGTCTCCTGAGTAGCTAGGATGACAGGCGTGAGTCACTGGCGCCCGGCTTGAGCCCATTCTTTTTGATTGAACAGTTTTTCAGTCTGCATAAGAATATTCAAGTTTTGACTTAAAAATCTTGGCCAGATGTCAAAGGATAAGAAAGTGTCCTCAATTAGTAGACTATCTGAAAACTTCAGACACAATTACTTTTTCAAATGCATAAAAGACTCCAAAAGATAGATAAATCACCCCTGAGAAACTTACTTGTGTTTTAAGGTCTTTGCTTAAAACAAAACAACAACCCCCACCCCCCACTCCGGTGGCCATAGCACTGCCAGGGCTAATGTCCCTAAAACTGAACAAAGGGAATTCTGAGTATTCCGTAGGCCAGGTTGCCAAGTTGCAGTAGGGTCACCTGCCCGGAGAAAAGCTGCACCAGAGACAAACTCATCCCAAAGGGGAAGCGGGACCAAGGAAGCACCGCACCCGACCGGGGTGATTTGAGGCGATCATGGTTACACTTTGGGAGGAGAGAATAAATTCCAGGATTTGGGGATGGCCGAGACTATATCCGGATCCAAATTCTTTTCATTTCTTTTCTTATCACTTCCCTCTCAGTCCTTTCTACTGGTCTCCCGCTTTTTCCAGATGAAGCCCAGTGTATTTCTGAATGAAACCTCACAGCCGGTCAGGGCTAGCGTGGCGGGCAGGGTGCGGCGCGCGGAGGGCGCAGACCGCGGGAGCGCGGCGTGCGAGGACGCAAGGCGTGGGAGTGCAGCGCCGGGGCGCAAGCCGCGCGGGACCCGCAAATCCCGGGGTCGCCGAGCACTGGGAGAGCGCGGGACGCGCAGACCACGGGAATGCGGGGCGCAGGGGGCGCACAGACCCCGAGAGCGCAGAGCGCAGGGGAAGGAGGACCCGCAGACCCCGGGAGCGCAAAGGTGGCGCGGGGCGCGCAGACCCCAGGGACGCAGGGGAGAGCGGGACTCGCAGACTCGGGAGGCGCAGGAGGGGCAGGGGCGCTCAGACCCCGGAGAAGTGGGGCGCGGGGGAGCAGGGCCGGTGCGCAGGGGACGCGAGACCCTCACTCCGGGGGCGCAGGGCACAGGGGCGCGGGACCCGCAGACCCCCGAGGGCGCTGGGCGCAGGACCCGCAGACCCTAGGGGTGCGGGGCGCAGGGGAGCGGGGCGTGCAGAGCCCAGGGGCGCAGGGGAGCAGGGCGTGCAGAGCCCAGGGGCGCGGGGCGTGCAGACCTGGGGCGCAGGGGAGCGGGGCGTGCAGATCCCGGGCGTGCAGACCCCAGGGGCGCGGGGCGTGCATACCCCGGGGGCGCAGAGCACGCAGACCCCGGGGGCGCAGAGCACGCAGACGCCAGAGGCGTAGGGTGCAGGGGCGCGGGACCCGTAGGCCCCGGGGGCGCAGGGGGCCGCGGGGGCGCGGGACCCGTAGGCCCCGGGGGCGCAGGGGGCCGCGGGGGCGCGGGGCGCGGGGCGTGCAGACCCCAGGGGCGTAGGGTGCAGGGGCGCGGGACCCATAAGCCCCGGGGGCGCAGGGGGTCGCGGGGGCGCGGGCCCCGCGGGCTCCGGGGTCGCAGGGGGGCGCGGGCGCTACCTGTGCATGTAGTGCAGCACAAACATGGCCAGGAGGATGCGGTTGGGCCAGCTGGCGAGGCGCAGGGCGCGCGCGCGGGCGCACTCGTACAGCGGCCAGGCCAGCGACGGCAGCTCCTGCAGGAGCCAGGCGGCCCGCGCGGGCACCCGGGGCCCGGACCACTGCGGCGAGTAGCGGCCGTAAGGCGAGCCCACCCACTGCAGGACCACGAAGCCCAGGAGACCGAAGAAGCCCTCCAGGTAGGCCAGCGCGTCCAGCAGGTGCGGCTCCGCCAGCTCCATCGTCGCGGGCAGGCGGCACGCTCCATGCCCGGGCCGCCGTGGCGGGCCACATATAGGGTGGCGGGGAAGGGGCGGGAGGCTCGGCCACCGGGTCCCCGGGCGCCGCCACCGACCCTGGCTCCTCCCGGGCGGTGAAATCAGGCCCCGGGGGTGGGGCTGACACCTGCTGCGGGCGGGGCCGGGACCAGAACCAAGCCTGCTACCCGGGGGAGCGTGGAGCCACGCGCATCCCCGACCGAGCTCCCCGGAGCCGGGCCGCGCCCGCGTCTGGGACAGGCCCCGCCCCCTCACGTCCGCACGCGCCTGGGGCGAGCCCGAGTCCCAGGAGGGCCACGCCCGCGTAGTGCGGGCCCCGCCCCCTCGCGCCAGCCCCGCCCCCTCAGCCCACTTCTGGGCAGCAGAGTCCGGGAAGCGGCTGACCCGCTCCTATCTGCGCACGCGTGCTGTCTAGGTCGTCTACAGTATTGCCTGAGTCGACGTGAAGAGCGGGATGTTTTGCGGGCGGGAGCTTTCGGGGCTCCTCTCAGTTATTATTTCCTTCTGTGGTGAGCCATGTTCTTTTCTGGGGTCCCGTCTTCCCGAAAGACGCGTTGTGGCGTTTTGGCACGTTTCTCGACGGCTTCTGCTCGGCCAGGCCGGTCCTCGCGGGGGCCTCGGGCCCCGGGCGGAAGTCCTGCGGGCGTCGCGGCCGTGGCGGGCCGCTTTCTGCGAGCAGCGTGCGCGGCCGCGTGGGGAATGGGGCGGCGGGCGCGGGGACGGCGGCAGCCGCAGCGGCGGCGGCCCGAGGACGCGGAGGACGGCGCCGAGGGCGGCGGGAAGCGCGGCGACGCGGTAGGCCGGGCGCGGTGGGGCGGCGGCGGCGCCGAGGCCTGCGCCGCGGGCTGACGCGCCTCTCCCCGCAGGGCTGGGAGGGCGGCTACCCCGAGATCGTCAAGGAGAACCAGCTGTTCGAGCACTACTACCGCGAGCTCGGGATCGTGCCCGACGGCGAGTGGGACCAGTTCATGACTGCGCTCCGCGAGCCGCTGCCGGCCACGCTGAGAATCACGGGCTACAAGAGGTGGGGGTCTGGCGCCGCGGCTTGGGCTTCTGGAAGCCTCGAGCGGGTTCGGGGCGTCCCAGGGGGGCCGGCGTAGTTGGCGGAGCCTTGCAGGTGGGAGGCCGGGATGGTGAGGTTGCGCACGCTCCCGGGGCCGGGGCGAGCCCAGCGGTCCCGCGACCCCCCCCCCCCCCACCGTAGCGAAGCGGTGCCAGCATCGGGTGTAAGTGAGGATGAGGCTGCCGGCGTAGTCGGGAACGAAGGAGTTAATGGTGCGTTTGCCTGATCCTTTAGTGACCGAGCTACGCGGGGTGCTCAGGTTTTCAAAGGGATCTTAGCGAAGGCAGTGTCCAAAGAACATTTCCTTTCACGTAGAGTTGGTTTGAATGAACTAAAACACGTCCAAGGCTCGGAATGGGGCTTTGTGGGTAGAGTGCTTGCCTAGCACCGCAGGAAGCCCTGGGTTCGATTCCTCAGTACCACATGAACAGAAAAAGCCAGAAGTGGCGCGATGGCTCAAGTGAAGAGTGCTAGCCTTGAGCAAAAGAATTGCTCAGGGAGAGTGCCCAGGCCCTGAGTTCAAGCCTCAGTCCTGGCAAAAAAAATTCGCAAACTTGGAGAAGATGCTGTGCATTGTATCTTTTTAGATCCTTGGGAAACTTGCTTATTTTTCAACAGCCATGCAAAAGAAATTCTTCATTGTTTGAAGAACAAGTATTTTAAGGAATTGGAGAATCTGGAGGTGGATGGTCAGAAAGTTGAAGTTCCACAGCCCTTAAGTTGGTAGGTACCATCATCCTTGATCATGTTGGCTTTTCTTTGGGATTTTAATATTTGTTCCTAGCAAGAGTTAGCCCTTTCTTTCCTTCCCTGTCCAGGGTATGTCCTCTAGCTTCTCTACTTTGTGAAGGTGAACCTTGGGTCCAGGCTTTATTAGGAAATGCCTGGAGCACAAACTGGAGGTGCCTAGCCCTGAATTAACTTGTAACAGTTGCTAATGTAAGTTGTTTTGGCTTCATATTTCAAAATAACTTTGAGTTATTGAAATATCTCATGAAAAAAAAGCAATCCTAAATATTTCTTACATGATGTGAACTGAACAAGTGCTTTCTGGCAGCTTTTGACAAGTGAATGGTTGTGTCTTTAATTTTTAGACAACTTTCAGTGATTATAAACTTTGTAACCATGAAGTATGTGGCTTTGCTTTTTCTTTCACCAGACATTGGATTTTCAGGGTCCATAACACAGTTGTCATGGCATATGCCTTTTGAATGAATGCTGAGTGTTCAATAAAATTAGAGTACTGGCGAGATCAAAGCCAGATACTGCACAAAATGCATTTCTGGGGTAGAAGAGTGAATGTGAAGCTTGGTGAGAGGCGAGGAGGGTGAAGGGAGAAAATATGTGTGTGCACACTCTCTCATGGGCTACATTGTTTGATTTTAAAAACTTGAAAGGACCATTGCAGTAAAATGAATTGATCATCAGGTTGCTGTTGGTGAGCCCTGTCCATCGTAGTGACATTAGTGGAAGAGGATGTCTTCAGCTGCTGTGGTTTGTATGCTCTTCCTGAGAGAAAGTGACCTTTATGAGACCCATTCTAAAACCTCTCTAGTGGCTAGTTAATTGGCTAATCTTCTGAGTTCCTGGTTTGAAAATATCACTAGTGGTGCTGATACTCAGGCATAGTTGGAGATAGACTGTCATTCAGTTTTACCTGGACTGGCTGCATTGCTCTTAACTGGGGACATTTACTCCTTAAGATTTATATCTGGAAGTATGGTAATAGGTTAGAGAAGGATGAGGACACCTAAGCCAGTAGGAGGTTTCCGTATGCTTCTGTAGGAAACAGATACTCCGTGGCACATCTTTCTAGGCATCTTTGGAACTTTTTCTTCCCCATACTGGGTTAACTCAGGGCCTCAGACTTGCTCAGTAAGCTCTCTGCTCTCAAGTTCAAGTTCTGCCCTGGTCCTCTCATCATTTTCTTCTGTTGGGCTCTTCAGATTGGTAATCAATCTTTTTTTTTTAAACTGTTCTCTTCAAGCTGTGGTTATACTCTTGTTTTGCTGAATCCTTTGTATTGGCTCATGTCTGTAATTCTAGCTACTCAAGTGTCAGAGATTGGGAAGAACTCAGTTCAAGGTCAGCCAAGAGAAAAGGTTCTTGAGATAGTATCTTAGCCAGAAAGAAGCTGAGTGTGGTGTGTTCCTGTTATTGGAGCTATGTGGGAAGCATAAATAGGATCAAAGCTAGGGGTTCAACAGGCATCAACTGTGATATTCTTACTAGAAAAATGACAAGCAAAAAAGAGCTTAGGGGTGTGGCTCAACTGGTGGAAGGTCTACCTGCCAAATGCCTGCCTAGTCTATGTTCAACAACTGCAGTATTGCTGTTAACAAAATCCCAGATATGCAAAGTATCAGGTATCTACTCTGTTCTTTTGATCTTTGTGCCATGTGGTACGTGAAGTAGATCATCCTAGTGATGTCTCTTCCACTGATGCCTCCACCATAGCAGGGAACAGAGACACTCTCCACTCTTTCCTCGCCATCATTTTGATTTTGTGGTAACATTAGGCATGTATTTTGTTCATTACTCCCAGCTTGCCTGGTTTTTACCGGCGTGGTCTGGTTAGAACATTACTCTAGGGCAGGGACATCAGTCAGTGTTGCTGACTACATTTGAGAGCAGTGTGGCTATGAACAAGAAGGGAATTAGGTGTCTCACTTGGCATGCAATCTGTAGAAGCAGTAAGTTATCAAAGGAGCACTTCAGTGTCTACAATCTGTGAGAGCTACACTTTCTTTTTGGTCAGGTATCCTGAAGAACTTGCCTGGCACACAAACTTAAGTCGGAAAATCTTGAGAAAGTCTCCACAGTTGGAAAAGTTTCATCAGTTCCTGGTCAGCGAGACTGAATCTGTAAGTAGGCATCTTTGGATTGTTCGTGTTCTTCAGGCTGTAGACAAGGCATGCATCATGTTAAGTCACTGGGAGTGATGGGTACATCACACTCAATGTTAAGACTCCTGTGAGTGTATGCACCAGCTTTCATTTCTGACTGCTCTGCTCTGGTGCTCCTTTACTGCCTAAGGTGTCTTAAGATAGCAGATTGCCTTTGAGACATGTTCATTTAGCCCTGTGCTTAGGAGGAATTGGACATGATATTTCAGTGTCCTGCGTGATTTTCTAACTAATGATTTAGGTTGTTCTTAATGGTTGCCTTTAGATAGCAACTGTTTACCCACTGTTGTAAAAATTAGATCTTTGTGATACTCTCAATCCTTTTGTTTTGTATAAAAACGTGATTATTTTTCTGTTGCATTTGTTATAATGCCTGAGATTGAAATTCTTCCCCACCCTCCTCATTGCTGCGTTTTCCCCCTTAAGGGGAACATCAGTCGTCAGGAAGCCGTCAGCATGATCCCGCCACTGCTGCTTGGTGTCCGGCCACATCATAAGGTAGTCGCTGGGAAGAAGGGGGGGGAGGGGGAATGGAGGAGTTCTACCAGTTCAGCGAAACGAAACCTTTTAATATAGTTAATTCTTGTTCCACTCTGTATTTTAGATTCTCTTTTATACTTTTGTCCCATTTAAATTTTGTAGTTCTCATAACTTTCCTCCTCCAGAGTTTTTCAATTTATTCATTATAGATTATTTGGCCAGATAACACTGAAAATCAGAGAGCTTGTTATATGAGGGCTGAGGGGCAGGTACTAGACCAGCACTCTGAATTTTCCAGATGGGTAAAGTGAAGCACACCTCGAGAGCTGACAAATGCTGACTGGAAGTGTCCTGCCTTTTAGCATCATTCACAGCCTTGTCTAATGTCAGTGTTCACTGATTTCTAGTGTCATTCTGTTCCCATCCCCTAGGCACCCTGATTCAGTAAGTTTTGGGGGTGGAGGTAGCTAGACATTTGACTTGTACAAGTCAAATGACATGTTACAGATTGACTCCATGCAGAAGTGTATGGTTAGGTCTTAGAATAGCAATCAAGATACTAGTATGGCTAAAAATTAAGTCTAGAATATTTAT